TAGCCCGGCGTTGCTCGGGATAGATTATCCTTGCAATTGGAAAATCATGTTATTCCAAATTTCATCATCCTGAATCCCATCATCAAGAATCCAGTTAATAATTCGAACACCGAAAGCACCGAAATTAAACAGGGACCAGAATAAACCCATGCAGCACCGAACACTCGTTTAAGCCCTGTTTTGAATTTATAAGGATAGATCTGTTTGCTACTTGTTTGAATTCAATTCATATCGACCAAAGTAAAAATTGACTTTTAAATTTAAATCGTCTTCGCCTCACCAGTTTTCCGTGTTTCAGAATTCCAATGAATGGAAAATTTATAAATTACCACCACCTGCTCATGCCCGAAGACCAAATAGATTTTGAAAACTGAAGAAAATATGTCCATTGTGTTCATACATATAAAATAAGAGATAAAACAATATTAACATTGATTCAAAAACAAGAAATAGTATACTGTAGATACGAAATTTTTAATTTAATGGTTTAGCATGGCAATAAATAGATTTAAATAAATTTTTCTAGAAGCCAGGACGGCAACGAAAACTCAATGACTATGGTTTAGGGCATTTTCTTATTTACGGAAAAAAGGCGCTATTGTGCTCATGTCCGTCCGTCTGTCTGTCCGTCCGTGACGTCACGATTTCGTCGACGAGAAAATGCGCTTTCTGGCACTCACTGCAGTGAGTACTGAGTTATATTTTTTATTCTTTAGGGCGCTCTTTTACAGACCAACACTGCCCAACTACGAACGGCGCGCTTTATCCCTTCTTCGATAACGTAACTTCCAACAATTCTGTCCAATCGCTATAGCAGCAGCAAGCATCTATGACAAAAAAATCTTATTAATTCTCCTCCAGCATAGTAGCCGGGTTGAGTATGGCCAAGCATCGTCGGCCTAAGCAAGGAATAACTTTACATCAATCCGACGTAGCGCGCATGGACGTTCCACAATTAATTCGCCAAAACATGAAGCCCTCAGAATTTGTTCTCTGCGGAGTGAGGCCCCGATAAAACAGTGGACTTAGAAGCTTACGGTTTTTTCTAACGAAAACATTTAATATTAGGTTATTTTCGAGTATTTTGATGAATAGCTAGCAGACCAGGCCAGTTTTTAGGCTAATTTTGGCCTGGTGGTGCAACGCATTGCAGCTGCGCAGCTCGCCAGTCGCTTGTGGCTCCCGCGGGTTACTAGGAAAGTGTGCCGAATTTGCTCCGTCACTTATCATTGTCGATCACTATTTGGAGTGGCCACTCGTTTTGTGCCTTATATTTAAGGAAGAATGTCTTGTTTGCCTGTGTCTCTACTTAGGAATAATTGAATGGCGCTAAATTGTGCAAATTGAAACCAATTTTTATAGTCATGTACAGCAACATGAGGAAACTGCTTGTCTTGGAAAGCTGTACGTAAAATCTGCTTGTATGGAATTTCTTGCAATCGTGGAATGTGGCTGCAATTGTTGCCAAGAGATCTCTTTTCGGAAGTTGCAGAGCAATGGACGCTCGGAAGTGAGGGAAGTGAATAACGCATCCACTGGTGACCTACAGTTGCTGCCACTGAGTACTGTCACTTCCACTGATCACTATCACGTCCACTGCTCACCAATTTTCAAGTTCCGTCATCGTCGAAAGTGTATGCTGGAACTACGATTAAATTTGTCGCCTTGCTTCTGACGGTTTAAGGCAGAAATTTGTGAGCGTCCCCGCTGAAGTGGAACACTGGAAGGGCCAGGAACCTACCTATTTCGAAGAATGCTTACTTTTTTCAAAGATACCTTTAGCGTACCAAGGAAAGGTGTATATATACAGATTTCAGTTATGGGTTTTACTGAACGGGGTGCAGCGGTACTGCATTTGAAGCTGTCTGTGTTCATAAGTTTTAAAGCTCCCGGATTAGTGTATCCTTTCAGCTTCCTTAATAAAGATTCAAAACGTAGGTTTTATCTTTGTTTACTGGCCCTTTTCCGAAGTTTTGCGTCCAGTTATTTCACTATGCCGTTGAGGTAGCTGATATGTGTTGAAGCTCCCCCGCAACAGCATGTTTCGTACAACCCCTAAGGCTTAGCTAGAATGATTGGTCGCAGTACGTACGGTTGCAGGTCTTGGAATCGTCGATGATTTATAGGGTGTTTTTCATCGATGGCTTAGTACAATTTCATTATGTGTGGCCATCTCTTAATAATTGATCAATAGCCACCAATGAAATAGCGTTCGAATTTTGCATTATTAAATATTTCAACATCTATATACATCGTGAATAAAAAACTGCTGATAAACGAAAGATAATTATGTATATAACGCGATGAAATTTTTTCAAGGCGGCCATGAGTTTTTTAATTTTTTGGTGTTCATATGATTACTTTATGATCTATTCTGCAATCTGATTACGCTTTATGACGCATTTTACGCCAGAACGAAATTTGAAGCAAAATTAATTTATTTTGATTCAAGTACGAAGTTATCATGCCATAAATTAACTGTTCGCTTCCAAAAAAATCATTAGAGAAAATGAACCATCAGGACATTCTCGAAGATATTTCATAGATTGTATCACCATATAATAGACTACTAATTTAATGCTTACGAAATAGAGTGCAATATAGTTGACCTCATCAGGTTTGAAGCAAAATAGTTATTCACTGATTTGCTCAATAGTTGCGAAAGGTACGCATTATTGAAAATATTTAGCAACGGCTGGTCAATACCTATATAATTGTCTCATTCATATACGGCAGTGGTTCCCAAACTTTTTCAAGCTGGCACCCCTATATGGCTCCCTAGTGAATTTCTAGCGCCCCCCCCACAAACACATATAATATCATGCGCCTCTTTCTATAAAATTTATTACGCTGCAATTCTAAAAGATAAAGGTTAAACACAAATGTGTATTTCACAAATAGAACATCATTTAGTGAACCAATATGTTTTTCAGCTGTTTTAACTGTTTCAGCACTAGAAACCTAGGACGTCTCGAGCAAATTTACTGCCAGACTCTTCACCGTCATTTTTGACTTCAATCTTCCTTATTCGCTTTCGTTCGCAAGTTATACACTATATACAGATATAGGAGGAACGACCGGCTTTTCTACCGGCTGGTTTAACCAAGAGCAGTTTACGTATAGCCGTATAACTCGCAAACGAAGGCAAAAGGAAAAAATTTTAACGAGCTAAACATCACCGTTGCTGATGTTAGGTATTAAAATACTAAATTTCGTTCGAATCTGTTCAGTAGTTTGCAAGAAATTACTTGATCACTGTAATATCGGACCGTATTGCCATATAACTATGGCAAAAACAATTGAAGGCAAAATTCAAAAAAATTTCACGAGCTTTACATTACCTTTAAGTCCTAATGAATATGTTTACCAAGTTTCATCGAGTTAAGTTCATTAGTTTGAGAGATATTCCTTGATCATTGAATTTGGAAATTCGCCGTGAGACCGGTCGCGAGTCCGGCCGTTAATTTGTCGGAGACGTAAACCAAATAGAGGTTAAAAAATTATAACTCAGTACTCACTGCAGTGAGTGACAGAGAATGCATTTCTCGCCGACGAGAACGTGAAGTCACGGATGGACAGACAGGCGGACAGACGGACGGACGGACATGGCGGGCAAAATAGTGCATTTTGTCCATAAATGAGAAAATGCGCTAAAATCAGATCTGGGTGAAAAAACCATCCCTGGGAGTCATGTGCTGCACGTGTTGGGTACAAATCGTCAAACAAACGTTCGAACTTCTGACTTCGACTTCGGACTGCAGACCCCCCTATCGCCCTCTTCTTTACCGCACCCCAAAATCTTTCCATCGCCCCTAGCGGGGTGATATCGACCACTTTAGGAACCACTGAATCATACGGGCAGAGTTAGAATAGCACAAAAGATGTATATGTGACGGCGCTGAAGCAATAGGACCATATAGCCTGTTAAAGTTAAAGACTTCTGGATATTGTGTCACTTAGGCTCTTCTAAGTACCTATTAATATTTTAATTTAGGTCTCATAAAAATGATAAAAATTGAGGGAGCAAAAAGCTGATCACTTGCCCAAACTAGCGTTTTTAAGATTTAATGAGGAACAAAACGACGCAAAAATATATAAAAATCCCTACCGGGGGCATAGTGTTAGTAAATAACTCTATAATTTAAATTTCATGCAAATTCCTTTAGAATAGGTAAGTTGACTAGGTTCTAAGCAGGACATATGGTTATGAGTTCGCCGGTGAGTTAGGAGAGATGTCTGTTAGGCACAACTAAGTGAGAGTTCAAATTAACCGCAAGATCATCCGAGTTAACGGAAGGTAATTTCGTATCACATAAAGATTTTCCATGGTTGTGTAAAAGGCTTAAATGCCTTATATTATAAAATGATAAAATTATTATGCGTTTATGAGTGTCTAATTTTACATCAATACGTAATTATCTCAGAATTGAAGCCTTTGCCTTTGTTGTACCAACAACTTCGCCCGCTTAATTCTTCTTTTTATTCTGTATCAAGTTCCTAAAAGCTGATTCTTTGACGCTCCTTCACATTCATTGCTCCGAATATTACTTGAATTGATGCAATAATATTTGTACATATATTTAACATTTTGAAATTTACGCATTTTTATAGTTTGAAATCAATGTACAATGATCATTATATAAACATAATTTAAATTAAGCTAAGTGGGTTCTCTTTTGACTACTTTCGACAGTATACATTGCTTGACTTGGGTGGGACGCCTGTCGGAGACCACCACTGCCTAGTCCCATTTCACTATATTTTTCAAAATTGATATTTATTCCTTCGATTTCAGAGTAAAAGTTAATTAAGTTTGAATATATGAGAATAATACATAAATAATTCGTTGCTTCTACTTAGTTCATTCTATCTTTTGTATGTCCATGGGTACTCCCATTTGCACAAAACATATCCCATATCTTAATATTCATGAAACTGTTTTTTTTTCAATATCCGGGATTTAAATAAATTTATAAAGGTTTTGACTTGCGCAGGCTGCGTCCAAGACCGCAGCGCGCGTGATGCTTGCTAGAGACGCTCGGTTTCAAAAAGTTATGGGCGAAGGCAAAGAAATTTCCTTCATGAACATGAAGCTCGTGAACACCATGTACGGCTGCATAGGTCTGTATACTGTACAGTGTATATTTTTTAGCGGTGATGTGTTTGACCGAAGATCCGTAACATAGTTTACTGTACGAATCCATTGGGCTACTGGATAGAGAAATTTCAAAATGATACGGATCCTTTGAAATCATAATCCTTTTCTATTCTTCCACTAAGAACTAAATTTCTTATTCTGGTAATAAACTAAGTTTTCTGAATACGCGCCCCAGCAGCCAGTCTTCAACCACACACAAACCCACAAACTTTGAATGGTAAAATTGTCTTCACGAATAATACATCGTGCTCCCATACAATTCAAATATTTATTATCTTTGTGTGTCAGATGACTGGTTGACGAACTGCAAGCTGTCATCTGAACCCTGCAAGAACGGCGGCTACACCAAGAAGGACTGCAGTTGTGCTTGTCCGTTGGGCACGACAGGCGCTAACTGTGAGAACCTCGTCATGAGCTACAACGGTGAGGCTAGCAGCAAATATGAGAACACTATAGTTGCTTCATCCCGAACTAAAATTTTGAGACAATGTCCAGATATTTAATTTTTGCAAACTGAATCCAGCCGTCTCTCTGAAAATCGGTCCAAACAAGTTTTTTGCTATGATGCATAATCAAATGCAATGATTCTTTGCATAATTAAAGGTCGAGAGAATTTTAAAGCGCATTTGCAAGTTGGTCTGCTTATATCTTTTATAAAAAAAAACTGTTTTTATTAATAAAAGGAAAGGACAACTCGCACTCCTCGTAATCTACAGTTAGGTTGCAGCGGCATTTTTCTGTCTCATCCTCATCCGCGTTCCTGTCCATGACAGTAGATTGAGTTGAATAAACAAGCAATTGAGCTGGTAGTGTTATCTCCTACTTGCTCAACACGTTGATGTTCTGACCAAAAAAACAACGACAATAAAACAACCACCACAACAAATTTCCCGTTTTCTTGATGGGGATCATTGGGAACATAATATCCAGAAATCTTAGGGTTGGGATATGAAATGATCCCATATTAGTTTCCCATCAAAACTTAAAGATGTCCATAAGCACTCGGATATTTGCTCTAAAATTAATTACTCTTCACCGCAGACGCCCTGATCCAGAAGCTGACCCCACATAGCGCCAATATCACCAAACCAGGAGAAGTCACCTCTCCTGGCTACCCTAAATTTATCCGTCTAGGAGGTAAGTTCAAAAGAATGACTGAGAGTTGATATATTTATGTATTTATTGTTTGATGCTTTTCGTTGATAGATGATATAATCATATCGACACGCTAAGTTTTTTTTTATAAAATCTAGCACGAAATGTCATTCGTCACATTTAACGAAAAAAGGCGATACAATTGCAGGCAGAAGCGATGGTTACGTCGTGGAAGATTAATCAAAGCAATCTGTGTTACATTCTAAAACACACCACAGTAATTATTGCATAAAATGCACTCCCTGACACATTTGTACATGTTTTCCAGTGATAGGAAGCACGCAGGTGATACGCGCAGACAAGTGCCAGAGGGCCGTAGTCACCTTCCAGGACTTCCAGCTCGACGACGACTGCGACTTCAGCTACTTGGAGATCCGCACTGACGTTTCCGTTGCGGAAGGCAAAAAGTACGGGAAATGCAGGCAGTTTTAACTTGCAAATGCAATTGAATAATAATTAAACATGTACCCTACGAATATCCGTTGATTTCAATTTACCAAAGAAGAAATTAACCGAACAAATAACCCCAAAATTTGTGCAACTGTGATTTCTTACTTTTTCTACAAGTTCGTGTTTAAATAACTGCATTTGTTTACTTATGTGCATCAATCATTGAACTAAAATAAAGTCACAAAATCAGCCTTCGCAAGTTTTCGAGTTTGACATTCTATTTCGATGGGAGTTTAATATAAAAAAGCATATGTTAATGACAGTTTAATATAAATCCAGTGCGACTAATCGTGACTCAACTATTGTTGCTGAAATATGTAATATTTCTCATTTTCTCTTGATGCAGGTACTGTGGTACAACAATAGCAAAGGGAACAGTTTTCAAGAGTGACAAGTCGGAGCTGATCTTCCACTACATGAACAAAGACGCTGAAAAACCGGATGCAGGCTACAAGGCTACCTTCACCACCGAGGCCATTCCTAACTGCGCCTAGGTAGGGAATGGGGAGGAAAAGTTCCACCGTGTCAATGCCCGTATGCATACGCATACGGGCATTGACACGGTGCGCAATTTCCAATAATTAAACTACGCGCACCTATACATGTTTGTTGTGCGCTTAGTTTGTGAATGGCCACCACGGTCATTCCTATAACTGCAACTAGGTACGCGTTAGGAACCTTGCACGTGTTGTATGATTTTATACATTATTATGATATAATGATCATTGTGTGGAGGATATCAGCTACGATTTACTGAAGGATTCGAGCTCATGATCATAATAGTTGCAAACCGTTTAATTTTAAGGACATTAATTTGTTTACAACTATTTTTATCAGCGTTTGATTGAAATAATTGAAACAAACCTTTGAAAATTATTTTCCCGGTGTTAATTACTGTTTTTAAAGACAATATCTGTTTCAAACACTATAGCGGCAAACGTCAAGAGTTTCCCTGTACATTGTGCGTTAAAAATAATCATTGAAATATAATTTAAGGAGGGCATTCCTCTCCTTAAAAAAATATGCCCCACAAATTTTATGATTCTGTAGTGAGTGCCAGCCTTGTATTATTTAAATAAATTTTAAAGAAAGTAATTTTCTGTTATGTTCGACAATACATTTCGTGTCCAACAGGACCGACGAAATTTATATCAGCAGATATAAATATATATTCTATATAATATATAGAATATATATTTATATACAGAATTTATATAAATATATATTCTATATTCTTGGCAGATGGCTCGTGCGTTAGCATTATAATAAATATTTATAAACCCGCATTGAACAAACGCTCCAATAAGCCCAGATTAATTCCAGCAACTCTATTTTTCATTAATTTATTTTCAGTTGATGGCGTTGCGTCTACTCACTGAAATGCATCAGGAAGAGATGCCTATTGGGACGATGGCTTGGATAATTACCGGAAATTGTGTGCAATAACTACAAGTTTTACTTCAAAAATATAACACTGAGTTGCAATTATTGACTGAACTTTCATTATCCTAGTTTAATCATGAAAAATGCCATAATTGGCATATTGGCAGTACTAAATTTCTGAAATATCGCGGTATAGTTTTAAAATTTGTGAGGGGCGAGAAAGCCAGCCGGGTTCTTAGTGCCGGACGTACCCTTGGTTTATATACTCGCAGTCTCGCGGTATATATAGAAGTACAGTCCAGGCCCTGTTTGTAATTAATTCTAAACGATTACTTGCAAGTTAGCTTTTACACAATCAAGGACGTAAGACACTATAGGCGTTTACTCGATGAACGCAGCTGACTCTCTCCCTCCAAACGAGTTACGAGTTCCCGCCGAACTATTTCGAAAACGAACCTCCTCAGGAGTCAGGAGTCAGGACATGTCTGTAACAGGGTTGCCAGATAGTGTTAAGAGAAAACGGCTAATTTAACAAAAAAAGGCAAAACAGCTGCGTTTCCAAATAATAATAAAAGGTTGACCCACGCCCCACGCGATGAAGATTTTTGGCCGTTCCGACTTCTGAGCATCTCAAGAGTGACGTCACTGTGAGCACAAAATGTAAATAGTGTAGATCAACACATTGTTTGTTTGTCCTATTTCTTTGAAAGCATTAAAAAATGACATGATCAAAATGGCACAATAAAATTTATTTACTGCATCATCATGCAACTAGTCTTATTTTAAACAAAACTGGTGTTACAGATCAGTTTGACGTCACGAGGTGACGTCACAACAGCCAAAGTGACGTCACAGTTGGAATAAAAAGTGACATCCGCAAGGCGTAGCTGCACTAGGGAAAACATTGCATTAGTTCAACCATGAAAAATTTGACCTCATTGAAATGGCCCATAAAATTTATATACTGCATCTAGTCTTATTTTAAGCAAAACAGGTGTTACAAATCAATTTGAATCACACGGTGACGTCTCAAGGTAACGTCACAACGACCAAGGTAATATCACGGGTGGAATAACAAATGCAGGGGTGCCCAGTGGTTACAGTTCAGCAGAGTCCAAGATTGGCGCAGAGAGGCGCGGGTTCGATCCCAGCTCTGTGCGCCAGTTTCTGGTCAGAATCGGCAAGGAGGCCGGGCGGTTTAGCACAGCAGAATTTGAATCAGTGAGTTGTGAGTTCGAGACCGCAACATGCTGTGGATGTTCTGCGATGTTAAGAATCGGCAACAGACCTATGGCCTAATAAACGCTGAAACCGCTATTATTATATTATTATTACAACCGCAAGGCGCAGCTGCACGTGGGTCAAACTGGTATTAGTTCAACAATGAGCTGAAACTCCTTGTGAAATTAAAGCAGATTTTTTGTCGCTTTAAAGTTTGTAAATTTTTAGGTTAGGAGAAGTTTCGAGTTGAATTTAAAAAGTTATGAATACTAATTCTATTTTGGAAACGGCTAAACTGATTCTAGTGAAATTATGATAGCCTTTTTGCCTCGTTTAAGTGAATAAATTTTTAGGTTCGGGAGAGCTTTCGAGTTGAATTTAAAAAGTGAATATTTGACAGAATTTTTATCGCTTAAAAGTAAATTTCTGGGTTTGGTGGAATTTTTAAATTGAATTTAAAAAGGTAAAAACACTAACTCTTTTTTAGGAACGGCTGAACTGATACTCGCAAGATTATTATAGATTTCTTATTGCTTTGACATGAATAAATTTCTAGGTTTGGGAGAACTTTCGAGCTGAATATAAACATTTATGAATAATAATTCTATTTTAGATCCGGCTGATCTGATACTCGTGAAATTATAATAGACATTTTATCGCTTCAAAGTGAATAAATTTCTAGGTTTGGGAAAACTTTAGAGTTGAATTAAAAAGTGATAAATACTAATTCTATAGTAGAAACGGCTGAAATAATACTCGTGAAATTAAAACAGTATTTTTCCCCTTTAAAGCGAATAAATTCCTAGGTTTGGGAGAACTTTCGTGTTGAATTAAATAATTTATGAATACTAATTTTGATATAGAAACTGTTGAACTGATAAGAGTGAAATTATTAAAGACTTTTGCAGCTTTAGAGTGAAAAATTTCTGGGTTTGGGAGAACTTTCGAGTTGAATTTGAAAAGCTACGAATACAAATTTTATTTTAGGAACGGCTGAACTGATTACTCGCGAAATTATTACAGACTTTTTATCATTTTAAAGAGAATAAATTTCTAGGTTTGGGAGAACCTACGATTTGAATTCAAAAAGTTATGAATACTAATTCTATTTTAGAAACGGCTGAACTGATACCCAAAAAATCATTAGACCTTTTGGAAGCTTTAAAGTGAAAAAATTTCCAGGTTTGGGAAACCTTTCGAGTTGAATTTGAAAAGTTATGAATACCAATTCTATTTTAGAAACGGCTCATGAATTTATAGCAGACTTTTTACCATTTTGAACTGAATAATTTTCTGGGCTTGGCTTTCGATTTAAATTTAAAAAGTCATGTTAACTAATTCTATTTTAGAAACGGCTGAACTTCCACGCTTGAAATTATAACAGACTTTTTATCACCTTGAATTGAATAAATTTCTGGGTTTGGGAGAAACTTCAATTTGAATTTAAAAAGTTATGAATGCTTGTTCTATTTTAGAAACGGCTAAACTGATAGTCGCAAATTTATAACAAACTTTTTACCTCATTAAAGTGAATAAATTCCTATGTTTGGGGGAATTTTCATAGTTGAATTTAAAAAGTTACGAATACTTATTCTATTTCAGAAACGGTTGAACTGATACACGACACTCCAACGATGTAGTCAATGTCGAGATAAATATATATAGGGCCTCTCGAGTACTACACAAGCTCTCAGGCCCAACGGTCATCCTTGCGGTTGTCCTGTGGCTTTAAGTCTACCCTGCGTGGACATCCCGAAAAGAAGAAGAAGAAGGGCCTCTCGAGACAAATAATGAATCACAATTTCGAGTGTGTTCGGAGTAAATAACTTTTTTGCAGCCTATACTCATAGCGTTTGTTCGGGATGATTTATGCTCAGAAAACCTCTAGCTTTATTAAAGTTCCAATACTGACGGCACAATTTCGAGTGTGTTTGGAGTAAATAACTTTTTTGCACCCTATACTCATAGCGTTAGTTCGGGATGATTTATGCTCAGAAAACCTCTAGCTTTATTAAAGTTCCAATACTGGCGGCACAATTTCGAGTGTGTTTGGAGTAAATAACTTATTTGCAGCTCAAACTCATAGCGTTTGTTCGGGATGATTTATGCTCGGAGAACCTCTCTCTGTATTAAAGTTCCGATGCTGACGGGCCTCAAGATTAATGGATGAGGCAAATATATACAGTACGATAACTGCTCATTTTGTATTGACAAAATTTCTGGACGAAATGTACGACAAGACGAAGTATGAACTACATAGTTTTTCTGTGATATCACGACTGTCAGGGAAATATTATGGACTATGGACTCCTAAATTTTTTGGTATGAGGAGCTAAAAAGAAATTATCATTAAAGCTTGCCAATATACAGGGTGGACCAGAATTAACTGACCCTTTTAATTTGTTAATAAATAAAAAACTAACAACGTTATGAAGTTGAAACTTGTTTTATTTAAAATAAAAACATTTTTATGGTAATATTGCATCCTATTTAAATATTGTATCCTATTACAATATTTTATTATTGTATTAGTTAAAATATTTATTATATATTAATAATATGTATTAGTTAAAATATTGTATGTAATATTTCTTTTAAATAAAACAAGTTTCAACTTCATAACGTTCTTAGTTTTTTATTTATTAACAAATTAAAAGGGTCAGTTAATTCTGGTTCCCCCTGTATATAGGGTGTTCATTTCTTCTGCGACAATTAACAAATCTTTCCAAATATTCATAATCATGTAGAACTATCTACGGAAAAATGAGTCATTACTTAGTTCAAACTTTTGTTTGCTGTCATCGTAGCCAACACAAAACTAAAACGCACTCAGCCAACAGTTGCAATACGCGTGACATATGCATCCACCACGCGGATGGTATAGTGAAAAATTATATTTTTTGAGGACTTTGCATATAACAAAAGTGGATAAGTGATCAATGGTTTGCAACGGCGACCAAAGTACCATATCCATTTCGTACCATATCCATGGTACGAAAACCTGGTTGTTTGTAGTCCACTTGACACAAGTGGTGTCGCGTCGGGCCTCCCGAGCAGCTCTCAAACAGACGGCCCACGCGTGTTTATTGTGAAAATATGGCATTGATGTAGAATATACCCTTGTAAAAAATGTGTTTATGGCTGATATAAAATATACCCTTGTAAAAATGTGTTTATGGCTTTGATATAAAATATACCCTTGTAAAAAATGTGTTTATGGCTTTGACATAAAATATACCCTTGTAAAAAATGTGTTTATGGCTTTGATCTAAAATATATACCCTTGTAAAATAGTGTTCAATGCTGAGGGGATGACGAACATCAGAGTGATAAAGCGTTATTCTTCTATATTGTTTTTAATGTCTTCGAAGAAGAGGAAGAGCGAAAAAATCTAGCATGAAAACAGGATTCATGTTCAATGCTATAATAAGACGTAAAATATACGTTTTAGCGCATTTTCTCATTTATGGAAAAAAGGCGTAATTGTGCTCGTCACGTCCGTCCGTCCGTCCGTGACCACGTTTTCGTCGACGAGAAAATGCGCTCTCTGTCACTCACTGCAGTGAGTACTGAGTTATATTTTATTAAAGTAATGCCTGAATTTATTTTCTGATTTCAAAGTTTGTTTAATTATTTTTTGTCAGGTCTAACCGGCTTACGGGGTTAAACTAAAAATTTCAATTGAAAATGTAAACGAACGATAAATATCGCTGGAATGAAAATAAATACAATATTGAGTAAAGTGCCGTTGTGACTGAGTAAAGAATCTATCAATAAAATGTAAATATTCGTTTTGAATAAAGTATTTTGGATATTTATTAACACTTCGCTCACCCCTACAATTCCATATCACTACATCACTCACGTAAATACGGTTCAAATGAAGACCTTAGAACACATCAAGATCTTCTATTCTGACCGAGTGATATTAATCTCACGGCTAGTACAGCTAGATTTAGCTGCATCGGTTTGAATAAATTTGAGAGTGATATTTCCAAAGTAATTTGGGATGCGATACATCGAAAATTGAGAATAAAATTACTTTCTTTTTTTCTACATTAACTATGAAAGAAAAATATTTTTCCCAATAAGGTTCATGAAGATTTTGATTCTTTTATAAAATAAGCGGAATTTCGAGGAATGTATTCCGTAAGCAATACCATTTATCACCCATATGAAGGCAAAGGTTCTATTATTAATATTATTTAACACGAATAACAATAATTATAATATTAGAAATAATTAATAATAATTATAATCCAATAATTTGTAAATCTATCGACGAATAAACTAAAAAATTCATGTAACGGCTCCGACGATAAAATCTTATAATCCGATATAATTTTGTACTTATCCAGCAACCACTTCATTGATGCTAATAGCCTCATTCCTGCGCACCTACAGGCCTACCGTTCATTTTTCCTCACTATTTAATTTCCCCTTTATTAATTCGCCTTTCCCCATCATCGTGACTCATCTCATATTTCCCCTCACATTTCTCTCCCACATCCCCTTCTCTTAGTCCCCCCTCCAGTCCCCTTCCATTACCCTTCCCGCCTTCCAATATCGTATATACGGAGAGCAGGGAACGAGCTAGCCCTCAGAACAAGACTTCTATCTGCCAGTCAAGGTGAGGTGTGAGATCCATGTTCGTTTGCTAATTTCTCTGTCCAGTTAGACTGTATAGTGTGCCATTTGGTAAACTCGTCTTTTCAATCCAATGGTGTGATTTAATATACACGTATTCCCACCTAAATCATGTGATTCAATAGACTTGTTATTTCTGTTCAATCGTATACTCAATTTACACATGTTTTCAATCTATTCGTGTGATTAAATAAATAAGAATAGTGTCTTCTAACAAAATTTCTAAATAAAAATAATGGCAGCAAATTATAATGAAATTATACTAGGAATACCAGAAAGGTTCGATGATCAGTTCATGCGGCTTATAAAATTTAGAGAACTTTTTACGTGAATGGACTTTTGCGTTTGAATGTGAACGTGTGTATGCGAGCGTGCCTTAATAATTTGAAGGTGAAGAAAATGACAGAAAATTTTAGAACAAAACAGACCTAATCAAGTGGAAGACTAATTAATTGCAAATTATACATGAAATTAGGTCGTTCGATTGATTACTCGTATTCTTAATTTTTTGAACTGATGACGGAACTGGTCTGAAAACTGTGATTAACGAAAAATCTTTTGAGTAATTTCAAATTAACTCTTAAAGCAGTTAAGCACGCTTTCCGAATAAATCGAGGAAATTTTCTTTATTTCACTTGTTGCTTATACAGTATACATGCTTTCATTGCAGATATACAGAATAAATATAACGACTTTTGACATGTTTTCATTCATTACAGATACTCGGATGACGTTCAAAATGGCAAGAGGGAAGGCCCATCAGACGCTCCTGGCGCTGTGCTTATGCTACGCCGTTGTGGAAACCATCTCCGCGCCAATGGTACAGTTTATTCATTATAATCTTTCCGAAATACATTTTTGTTTCTCAGGATATAAGCTATTTTAACAAATTGTTTCTATAACAGCTAGAAAAGACCTGCTTATAAGGTACAAAATCATTCAATTTTAGGCGTTCACCTGCACAGCAGTGCGAATCTGCATGATGTTCTGTTCGATTAATGGTTATGAAATGGTTTGTACCCAGGCAACCATAATGGTTGTATAAATAAACTTTCTAGGAAGATCTATGTAGAATCTATGGTTGTAGATATTTGGTGCTTCAGTTCACTTTGCGTCACACTTATTGTTATATATGTATATCTGGCAGGTTGAGTAATAAATACAAGTGGAAACGCGTGAAATAGATGTTTATCTTCTAGACGATGTCCTCTGATTGATGTCACCATCTTTCAATAAATGCAATTTATCCTAGACACAGAATACAAAGGGATTTTCTTGTAAGATTACAAAAAATCTCTTTCAATCATTCAATTGTAAGAAAAAATTCTCATCCCCTATCAAAATTTAGAGTCGCCCCAGCTTCTGGGAATCCAAATCAGAAGCTGACGCGTCTATAAGTTTTCACTGGGTCTGTACGTAATCGCTTTCAGTATTTGACAGCAAATTTAATGCGTGAAACATATGTAATATTTACTTTACAGCGCCATAGACTGCAATACACTATGAAGCGTGCATAGATAAATTGTTATGAGTAATGAGAGGGGACAAATATTATTATTCTAAATGTTTATTGACTTCTCCTTCTCAAATCCAGCCGTACATAAGTGGTTTTGCAATAAAATACCCCTAGTTTTGAATTGTACTTAATTGTGCATATGTTTTAATGGTCTGCTAACATCTCTTCAGTACAAACCAGTAAATTAAATGTCTGATCCCACCAGGACGTGGCCACCCGAGCGGACGGGTCGGTGTTGGTCGGCGACATGCTCTACTCCGCGGCGCAGTGGCAAAGTTTGCTCGCTAGGAACTTGCATTCTAAAGAAGTGCTTTGGCCGAAAACGAACGGAGTTGTCAAAATTCCATACAAGATAGCAAATTGTGAGTCGATACATGTTCATTACGTTTTTTGGTAAATAGTTACTGTTGCACTTGAAATCGTTAACACATATAACATATTATTATTTCATTCGATTCAATTTCCAAGATCAACATGAACTTCATTTAAAGTTATTCTCTTTAGTGAAAGAATTTAAACTAACCAATCGTTTATTAGTACTAAGTAATTTAGATAAACGAGGTGAGATTATTCTGATATATATTGCGAGTACCCTAATCCTCATACACATTACATGCTAGGGTTGATATCAGCGGTTGTCAGATATCAGAGACCACTTTTGACAAAACTTTTTCTTTCGAAGCAGTTTTATTACTCCTACAGAATTTAATTTACTTGATTCTGTTGCTAGAAAATTTGACGAATTATTCTCCCTTCAAATATTCGACTGACCTTTGTGTATATATATACAAAGTACAACACGCCACAGTCCAAACTGTTACTCCCACCTTCCGAAAACTCAATAAAACAAACTCCTTTTCTTCAATTTTACAGCGAAGATAAACGTGACTCTGCTGAAGCTGGGCATCAGCGCCTGGGAGTCTAAGACATGCTTAGAGTGACATGCTCTACTCCGCGGCGCAGTGGCAAAGTTTGCTCGCTAGGAACTTGCATTCTAAAGAAGTGCTTTGGCCGAAAACGAACGGAGTTGTCAAGATTCCATACAAGATAGCAAATCGTGAGTCGATACATGTTCATTACGTTATGGTAAATAGTTACTGTTGCACTTAAAATCGTTAACACATCTTATTTTTATTAGTACTGTTACTCCCACATTCCACGAACCCAATAAAACAAAGTCCCTTTCTTCAATTTAACTCCCGTTCTTTCATTTTAGCTCGATAAAACAAACTCCTTTTCTTGGATTTAACAGCGAAGATAAACGTGACTCTGCTGAAGCTGGCCATCAGTGCCTGGGAGTCTAAGACGTGCTTAGAGTTCCCCGAGTTGCCCGCGGCTGACACCACCACGGCTGAGTACCTCAACATCCTGATAGAGAAGAGCTGCTGGTCCGGCGTGGGCTACGCGCAAGGCAGGGTCACGAACATCAGCATCGCGGGTGATGAATGTGATGTGCGTTGCGCAGAGAAGGGTTTATTCAAATTTGTTATGTTGCGCAGAGAAGAGTTTATTCAAATTTGTTATGTCGCGCAGAGAAGAGTTTATTCAAATTTGTTATGTCGCGCAGAGAAGAGTTCATTCAAATTTGTTATAAGTTTAAAAATTGTTTTTACAGCGCTTTTAATGCTTTTGGCTTTGAATTTGCACAGTTTATGCTGCAGAATTATTAGCTTCTACGCTCTACTTATAGGTTAAATGGTTACATAGGTTTATTTTCAACAATAATTCTGTTTAATGTATATTATACTTTCAAAATTAAAATGTAATTTGCATTGCATGTATTTAAAAAAAGGAAAATAATCATCCTTGCATGAAAATATCGCTTTGAAAACGACTTACATATATCACGCATTTTCATGATAAACACTGTCTTTTATTACAAATGCAATTTTCTTATAATTTTTGATTTAACAGGTTTTTTGTGTTCGTCATTTGACCCAATAAAAGGCAGTATTTCTGTACGTGTACCTCTGGTATCGCATAAAGGTATTCTGAGAATGTCAGATTTTTTGCGTTATGAATACTCACGAAAAACGCTTATTTTCTTGTGACTATTGCACAAATTCTCACGAGTCAGTGTTAGCCAGATAATGTACAGTAGATTATGCTGACATAATTTTGTACTTATGCAAGAACGCATATTAGACAGAAGCTTTGTAGAACTCTGATTGCAAAAACAATGTCTTATTTGCACTTCATCCTCCTGTTAGTACCTAATGGATGACATTAACGCATGGTGCCTGATTAACAGCTCAAGGGAATCATCCATGAGTTCGGCCACGCGATGGGGTTGCAGCACGAACAGTCTCGCAGCGACAGGTTAGTCCTGGTGTTGGAATTACCGAGCAAGGAATGAAATTATGTATTCTACGCTAAGTTGTGTTAGGTGCCATGGTAGCTGAACGCCGTAGGAGTGTGAATTTGAATAGCTCTATGGATTTTTGCGGTTTACAGACAGGCTCAAAACTACTGTAGGATGTTATTTCGTCGAAATGTTAGTTTTGCAGAAACGTTGATATTGTGCGCTTGTTCATAGCGCCGTATGTTCACTACCAACGCTTGAGCATGCTCATGATAAGCTTAGTAATACTGAATCTGGCTGAAACATTTCACCATCCACAACAAGCCTAAGCCGAACTAACCTAACCATATTGGCTGCAGGAAGTTAGAGAGGCGCGGCAAGTGAGCAGTTAAAGACAAGCAATAGTTGCAAGAAGGTTGTGAATTGCGTGAATAGGTTAGGCCAGAAGAGGTTAGGCTGGAGTATAAGTGAGGCCACAAGCAGAACCGCTCATAAGCCCGGCTTATATGAGCGAGCGTGCTTAGGTATTAGCTGAAGATCTACGGTGCCAATAGCTTGAGGCAGTGTCTCAATGGACTGGATTACGATGTTCAAGCGTAGTTTACGGATTTTTTGCTCTGAAACAATCAGAATGTAGTAATTGAATGCTGGGTTGGACATTGGCTCCTAGGCTTTTTAAGAATTTAATTTTTGGCCCAAAGCTGCGCGTCACCTACTATTCTACTAGGTATAACGATTCAAGTTAAATACTAGTCAGAAACCTTAGCTTTAATCGCTATTATGCCTTAATCTAAAAAAAAAACTTTAATTGACATAATTATTCTAAAGATGAGCGTAAAATGTACTTCCTGGTACTTCGAACAATTTTCAGCATTGTGTCGAAATTTCTATTTAAGTTCACCGAGATTGGTAAAGAAGTGCAGCTCGAGTTTTCGAAATTGATGATGGATTTGTTTTCAGGGACGACAACATCATCGTGATTACGGCCAACATTCAGCCTGGCGATGAGCATAATTATAAAAAATTTGACACCGTCAACTACGGCATCCCTTACGACTACTACTCAGTCTTGCAGTACGACGATAGGGTAAGACATCCGAAATTGGCTGCAGTGCTATATGTTCTTAAGATTCTTGCCTAATAATCTATGCTCCAAATTCGAAAAATGTGGATGTTTCAAGATTTCCGTTCGGTCATTTTCAATTGGTTGTTCTGTTAAATTTTCCATGTATAATTGTTTATATGCATACTTCGAGTGAAAATGTTCAACGAGAATTAGGGTGTTTAAAAACGCCATATTTTATTATTTAAGATAAATAAAAAGAAAATGGAAAAAATGAAATTAAATAAAAAATAAAAACAAGCTTAACAGAACTCCCATAAACATTAAATTTAAATAAACTCCTATGTGAAATTATTTAGTCTAAAATTCCCTTTTTAAAATATAGGTTAGGACGGTGAATTTTTCGGTAAACCGTTCCAGTCCCATTTCACTATATTTTTCAAAATTGATATTTATTCCTTCGATTTCAGAGTAAAAGTTAATTAAGTTTGAATATATGAGAATAATACATAAATAATTCGTTGCTTCTACTTAGTTCATTCTATCTTTTGTATGTCCATGGGTACTCCCATTTGCACAAAACATATCCCATATCTTAATATTCATGAAACTGTTTTTTTTTCAATATCCGGGATTTAAATAAATTTATAAAGGTTTTGACTTGCGCAGGCTGCGTCCAAGACCGCAGCGCGCGTGATGCTTGCTAGAGACGCTCGGTTTCAAAAAGTTATGGGCGAAGGCAAAGAAATTTCCTTCATGAACATGAAGCTCGTGAACACCATGTACGGCTGCATAGGTCTGTATACTGTACAGTGTATATTTTTTAGCGGTGATGTGTTTGATAGAAGATCCGTAACATAGTTTACTGTACGAATTCATTAGGCTACTGGGTTGAGAAATTTCAGAATGATACGGATCTAATTCAACCAATTTCCTCCTCAACTTGGATTTCGCCTTAAATTTGAACAAGCAATCATATCGTCATTTTGCAAAGGTAACGATATGATAGAGTTCCTGCAATTTTGCGATCACAATCCTCTCATCGTTATAATTAATACTGCCGTTAGATAATATGAATAACCCTCCAAGCCAATATTTAAATGGAAAAGATATTTTTCATTTTACTCTCGTTTCAAAGTATCGAAAAAATATTATCCGTCTAAATTTACAAATGTAATTTTATTTACATACACTAATCAAAAAAAATCATAAATAAATTTTCATCTAATCCTGTTCTCTAATCCTTTCCTATTCTTCCACTAAGAACTAAATTTCTCATTCTGGTAATAAATTATGTTTTCTAAACAGGCGCCTCAGCAGCCAGGCTTCAACCACACACAAACCCACAAACATTGAAGAACGGTAAAAGAGACTTCAGGAATAATACATCGTGCGTCCATACAATTCAAATATTTATTATCTTTGTGTGTCAGATGACTGGTTGACGAACTGCAAGCTGTCACCTGAACCCTGCAAGAACGGCGGCTTCACCAAGAAGGACTGCAGTTGCGCTTGTCCGTTGGGCACGACAGGCGCTAACTGTGAGAACTTCGTCATGAGCTACAACGGTGAGGCTAGCAGCAAATATTAAAACACCGTAGTTGCTTAATCCCGAGCTAAAATTCTGAGACAATGTCCAGAAATTTGATTTCTGCAAACTGAATCCAGCCGTCTCTCTAAAAATCGGTCCAAACAAGTTTTTTGCTATGAGGCATAATCAAATGCCATGATTCTTTGCATAATCAATGGTCGAGAGAATTTGAAAGCGCATTTGCAGGTTGGAAGTGTATGTTGTCTGCTTATATCTTTTGTAAAAAACTGTTATTATTAATCAAAGAAAAGAACAACTCGCACTCTTCGTAATCTACAGTTAGATTGCAGCGGAATTTTCCAGTCTCATCCTCATCCGCGTTCGTGTCTATGACTGTAGATTGGGTTGAATAAACAAGCAATTGAGCGAGTGTTATCTCCTACCTGCTCAACACGTTGATGTTCTGACAAAAAAAAAAAAAACACAATAAAACAGCCACCACAACCAATTTCCCGTTTTCTTGATGGGGATCATTGGGAACATAATATCCAGAAATCTTAGGGTTGGGATATGAAATGATCCCATGTTAGTTTCCCATCAAAACTTCAAGATGTCCATAAGCACTCGGATATTTGCTCTAAAATTAAGTACTCTTCACCGCAGACGCCCTGATCCAGAAGCTGACTCCACATAGCGCCAACATCACCAAACCAGGAGAAGTCACCTCTCCTGGCTACCCCAAATTTATCCGTCTAGGAGGTAAGTTCAAAAGAATGACTGAGAGTTGATATATTTATGCATTTATTGTTTGATGCTTTTCGTTGATAGATGATATAATCATATCGACACGCTAAGTTTTTTTTTATAAAATCTAGCA